CTGTATCTTCATTTGGCTTTTTCTCTGTGTTTGTGCTTCCTCATTTGATAAAGACATCTATCATCTTGCAGTAGGACCCCATCCTCATGATTGTAGCTAATGTTAATGACCTCTTTAAAGGCTCTATCTTTAAATAAAGCCATTTTGAAGATTAAGGTTTCTGCATGTGACTTTGAAGGGATAGGGTGGTGCAATTCCATCCATAATACCTGCAGTTAAACTTTGATTCATTGATCATAACTTAGAGTTTAATAAGCAACAATACAAAGGCCCAAACAGGGACAGACACAAAATGATACTGAAAAATTTGCTATCACTAGCAAAGGACCAGGAAAGGGAAAACCTAGCAAGACAGAAAAATTTTAGATCATAACTCCTCTAGTCAAATGCTGTGGGAAAGCTTGTGGATCCACCACAGCCCTGACTGCAGAGGGATCCACAACCTCCTTTCTTCCTAGGTGATAATGAAGTGCCTGTGCCCGGATCTCTTCCCGTTGGGATAGTGTCAGAGATGGCTGAGTGAGCTCCCTGGACTTTCAACTCTACCAGGTGGCAATAAGCTCTAACAGTGTGGTGCCTGTGGAAATATCTGAGGTGGAGGGGCTGGCTTTGACCTGCATCCAGCAGGAGGGTGTACACCTCCCTGTTGGGATGATGTCGAAGGATGACTACTGGGAAGCCAGACATTTTATCACCTTCAGATGCTTGTGAGGCTTCCCTTTGCATTTATTCATCCATTGGAGGTCTTATGGAGACCTCCTATTTTGCTCTGAGTCAGCATTATGTCAGCAAAGGCAGAGGGAATGGTGTGAACTCCCACCTCAACTCCAAAGTACAGACCTTCACCCCCAAAAGATTGGGGGTATCCATGGTGGTTGAAGGGGGAATCTGGGCTTATTTTCCCTTCAGGAGGTACTGTGGAAGAGTCCTCATTTCCTCACAGGTAGAGTGTGCTAAAAAAAAAAACCAAAGTCTGCAGAAACAGATGATTTTAATTAGATCTAGAGTATCACAATACAAGACCCAATACATTGAAGGTACAATAAAAGAAGTCAGTATTCATACCAACGATCAGAAAATCTTAACATGAAATGAGAAAATACAATCAACAGTTACCAACTCGAAGAGGATACCAGACGTTGGGATTATTTGATGGAGATATAATTGAAGCCATCATAAAAATTCTTTACTGAGAAATTACACTTGCTGAATAAAAACCTACATGTCCAAGAGGTTTCACTTGAGAATTGTACCAAATATTTAAAGAGGAATTAACACCAATTTTATACCATGTCATCCAGAAAATAGAACAGGAGAGAATAATTCCATTTTTAAAGTTAGTAGTGCCATGATAACAAAACCAGACAAAGACAATGCCAAATAAAAATAATGACAATAGTAATAAGTAGAACATATTTATATATTTTATATATCTATATAACAAATACATTGATTAATAATAATAACTATTATTCTAATGGAAAACTATAGACTAACATCTGTCATGAATATAGATGTGAAAATTCTAGCAAATAGAATATATATTAAATATATATGACAAAGAGGGTTTATTCTAAAATATAAGGTTTTCCAGTATTTACTGCGTCAATACCCAGCAGAAACTATTTTGCCCTTATCTCTAATTTTGTTGAAGAGAGAGTATAAGCAATAATAGGAAGGAATAAGGGTTTTTGCTAGTTGAGATAAGGATAGCCATACAGGGAGTTGACTCACATTAATTTCCTGTGTGTGTGTGTGTTACCTTCTAGGTTAATTCTTTTTGATCTCACCTTTTCTCTAGTTCCTGGTCCCCTTCTCCTATTGGCCTCAGTTGCTTTTAAGGTATCTGCTTTAGTTTCTCTGCGTTGAGGGAAACAAATGCTAGCTAATTTTTTAGGTGTCTTACCTATCCTCTTAACTCCCTTGTGTGATTAGCACATGCTTTTAAATTTTTTTATGCACAGACTGTTTAATACTCTATGAAAAACCATGCTTTTGGGTCTTCTACTTTCCATGTTTTAGAGCAAACTGCAGGTTGTTACTGAGAAAGCCTGTAGTCTTTTCACAGAAACTCACTGGCCTACCTTGACCTTAGCCTGCCTGAATGAGGGTCAAGCACCCTGGGTCTCCTGGTCTCCTCCACCTCCAGGAGAGGTTCTCTTTGCATTTACTGCAGATGAGTACATCCAACACTTTCCCGTATGAGGAGTTTCTGGGTGAAATGTGTTAATAAGTTCGAACACCTTGACGATGCAGTTAGCTGAAATTTATTTCAGGGCAAATCATACTGTAACTTTTGCTTTCTCATTTGTGTATATGGGTGCTGGTCTCCTAACAGTATTATTCACCTGGGGATGTTCCCTGTAATTTTTTTATTCTATGCCAATTTAATCAATGAAAACTATATTACTGATATAATAGTTCTTTCTTTAATTATTAAGAAGATCTTAACAGTTTCAGCTATTATTTGCTGTTTATATTTTTGTTACTTGATACATTTTGCTCATTTTCTTATAGGGGTTTCATTTTTCTCCACTGTGTGCCAATAATCATTGTATTACACTTACTTACATTTTAATACTCCCAAATAATTGGGCTTGAATTTGTTTCCCCTTTATACCTTGTATTTTCACGTATTCTTGTTCTTTGCTTTCATTATATTAGCTGTTAAACTTTTCAGTGGCATATTTGGCTAGTTTCGTTTTCCACTCGTAAAGTAAAATATTTTGTTATTATTTTCATTTGCATCTCATAAAAATTCAGATTTCTGGCCATTAGCATTACTTAAAGAAAACTTTTAGATTTATATCAGATACAAGATAAATGAGGTATGAGTTGTGGAGGATTTTACATGGGAAGTAAGCTCTTCTACCATGGAGTAGAGCCAGTCACACAAGGAGTATAGCACTAAAATCCTAGCATGCTAGTCTTCAAATTCTGCTCCACAAAGGACACCTTGTTCAAACCCCAACATGAGAAAACGGGAGAAAATGATACACAAATAAACAGAAACAAAGCAAGAAACCCTAGACTCATGTGCCAGTCTACTGTTCCAGCCGCCCGGCACTTCCTTGGATGGAGTTCCAAGCTAGGACTTTTCTGTCACCTTCAGTGGGCATTTGTTGTCGTCAAAATAACTAAAGATTGATAGTGGTCAGTGGCCAGGACCCTCTGAATCTCCATGTTTTGGGAAGACTTGACCAGACGGGCACTTTGGAAGACCACTTGTAGCCAGGAAGGTTCAAGGAGCAGGATCCAGCATCTCAGAAAGCCTGGGCTTTGTTCCTAACCATCTAAATTCCTAAGTGACAGGGCTGTAGGGCCAAGGGCAGTGATTACTGAGGGAAGCTTGGATTGCACTTGAAAAATGGTTTCACCATTTAAGAAAAAAGAAAGTATGGTTCTTCACAGATATATATAAAATTATGGGTAAAAGTCCTGAAGGAAGTAGCAGCTGCACCCTGATATCCAGGGTACAAGGTAAAGCACTGTGGGAGGGGCAGTGGCTCCAGCAGCACCTGTAGTACAGCTAATCGGTCACTAGGTGGCAGACGAATTCCACCGTCACCACACACCTCATTTGGGACTGGGTCATCAATTTTACCTCTAGAATGGGGTATAAGATTGGGTTTTTTGATTCAGGCAGGAGAAGGAGTGAGGAGCAGAGGGAATGTGCCCTCTTTACATGAAGAGCAGTGATCTTGAAGAAGTTCCGTTATGTGTACCACCTTCATATCTCTCTTGAAACATCCAGGCCAGTTCCTTCCCCTAGTGCCCCTCACCCAAGAGCTGCCCACAACCAGCCACTTCAGCCATTTTAGTTGACTGCGCTTGTGTATTGGATGAACACTTCCCTCCCAGGAACATCCGCCATGTCCCAAAGGAGCCCTGTCTCATTGTCCCATTGTCACTCAGCCACCACCACCTGCAATTTATAGGGTTCCTAGTTCCTTGAAGTTTAGTTTTCCTTTTCCATGTTATGGGCCTGTAGATTGGGCAGGGAGCATGTTTTCCTCCAATTCCCACTGTGCTGATAAAGCCCAAATTTAAGCTGCTATATGACTGACAAGTGTCCCTTTTGCCAGTTTCTCCACATGGCTAACAAGCTTGGATATTTGTGGTCCTGCTGGTAGAGGGTTCTCCTGTCCCAAATACCCTAAAGGAAATTTTCTGTTACTGGCTTGCCCAAACATGTTCAATTTAATTAACACACTTGTGCTGTACACCTTCACCTATAAAATGGGAGTACCAATGTTCAAATAGAAAGATGATTGTGATTAACTAAGTGGAGGCATACCACCCCTCTTGATTCTGCCTCCCTAACTTGTGAAGTTTTCCTCTTGGCTGAAAGGAAATCTCGTTTCTCCACCCATGGCGATAAGTTATCATTATAAGGATGAATGGAGCATTCTCCTCGGAACACACAGTCAGCTCTGTGGTTTTCACTACCAGTGATCGTCATCTTGGCATTTGTGTCTGTTCAGAGTGTGTAGCAAAACTTGGCTTTCATCATCTAGGGTAAAATTTAGAAAAAAGACAAGCACTGTCATGTTATGCTGAAAGTATATTTATATTTAGATTTAGATATAGATATAGATCTTTACTTTTCTCCAGTTTTACTGATGAATCATTATAACAATCAAAGAACAACATATTACGATTTTACATAAACTGTACCAGAATAAGATGGATAGCTTGCCAATTCATTTCACAAAGCCAGCACAACTCTGATACCAGAACATAACAATTAGAACACAAAACAGGGAATCACAGATCTCACTTAAAAATACAGATGCCAGAATACCAAAGAGAACAGTAGCCAATTGAAATCAACACCACATGAAAATGTACAAAGCTTTGGCAGATAAAAAGTCAGATCAAAAATTCAAACTCACACACATAGAACTGGAACAAAAACACCAGAAACAAAATGTCCCCCCAAACCCTGTCAGTGGCCTCTGGCCGGGGACCCACAGGAATGACACATTTTGTAACACCCATTAGTGGGGAGGGGAAATGCTGGTGGGGTCATCAGAATCATCGTTGTCACCGGACTCATCTTCGTCCGTGTCCTCAGAATCAAATTCTGCCAGCGCCTCAAGGTAGTGGAAAGGCCAGCTCTGGGGATCTTTCTTATGAAGCTTGGCCAAAAACCTCAGGACAAGCATCTTGCTGGTTTCGAGGAATGCACAGGGCCCCCAGAGGAACTCGAATTCCGCTGGCTCAGTGCAAGGAATCCTCCTGCACTCTAAGCACTTGTGCCTCACAAGCACTTCAGTGACGAGCTTCTTCGTATTTCCAAAGAGACCTTCTGTCTCCCGGACATCCAGCCCTAATCTGAACAGAAAATTAAAGATCAGATTTTCCTTGACACAATTGCTCTTCATAAAGATAAGACTCAAAACCACCATCAAGAGGCCAAACTTGGGTCTGTCTAAATTGGATGCCAAAAAACAACCTTGAGGATGCCCCAGCGTGTGGATGATAATGTAAGAGTGGGTTTTGGTATCAATTTCCTTCAATTGACAACCAAAGCCACACTCTAGCTTAGTGTTGGCACGGCTGATAATATCTAAGCACTCATGTTTATATTCTCGGATGACAACATTCACCATCTCTGAGGGCGGAATGGGTACCTTGGCTTGGTCCTTGACCAAGAGAAACTGCACCAATGCATTTGCTCTCTCATCTAAAGGAGATGATGCCTGATTCTCCCCCTTGGGATCCTGCTGGGTGGCACTGCATCCCTGAGAGAGACTTGGGATCTCAGAGATAATAAAGGGCTGAGGGCTATCTGAGCCTTCACCCATACCCAGGGCCCTTGAGGTACTTGGACCCTCCCAGGCACTCAGGGCCCAAGATGTACTGGGCCCTTCCCAGCCACTAAGGATCCTGGAGATACTAGGACCCTCCCAGCCATTCAGGCTATGGGGAGTGTTTGGATGCTCCCAGTTGCCCAGATCCTGGATAGAACTTTGGGCCTCCCAGCCACTTACACTGGGATTCTCCCAGTGCCGTTGGCCCTGCCAGTCATGGGAGGCCATCCCATGGCCACAGTTGTCCTCTTCAGGCTCCAGATGCTTCTTCTTCCGAGTGGCTTTGCCAGAGCGACGTGGCGGCTCGACTGTCTTGGAGGCCTCTTGAACAGTGGCAGTGGCCTGAGGGGCAGCTGCTGTAGCCATCAGGATTGTGGGCACTGCTGTGGATGCCTGGGAGGCATCCACATCCGGCTGTGGAACCCACGGAACTGCAGGCAGGGCCTCTATGCAGGCATATGGATCCTGCAGAGTAAATGGCAGTGACTTTGGGCTCTCTGAGGTGGCAGATGGGCCTGTAAAGGCATTAGAAGAGGCAGGCTGGAAGTGGGAGGTAGATGGAAAGACCCTTGAGGTGGCAGTGAAGGTCTCTGATGTGGCAGGCAAGTTTTTCCAGGCAGTTGGCACTTGTGCTCTGGCAGCTGACACTGCCCTAGGAGCACAGAAGGTGGCAGCAAAGATCATACGGTCTTTTGAAGGGGCCCTTCTCTCCTTAGAAGAGGTCCTACGTTCTTTAGAAGAGCCCCTGTGCTCTACAGAAGAGGCCCTTGATTCTCCTGATGGAGTCATGTGTGATTTAGCAGAGCCTCTGGGAAAATTTGTTGCCGCTACGGGGGCCCCGGGCTGGGCCGGCAGGATAGGGGGTGGCCCTTGCCAAGATGGCTGCAGTTGCAATGAGGGCATTTCTGCCTGCGAGCCCGTGGGCTGGGCCTGCTGGGTGGGTAGCTGAGTTTGCAGGACTTTTTGGGAGGCCGGAGCCCCCCGAAAGGGCTGCTGCTCCAGCTGGACCATTGGAGGGGCCTGCCCCTGGGCCTCCTGTGCAGGCAGGGGCTGCCAGAAATGAGTGGGTGCCTTGGGTGCCTGCCAGGCCATTGCCTGGGCCTGCTGCACCTCCTGATACTCCATCGATGTTGGCAACTCATGTGGCACTGGGGCCTGGCCTTTGGGGGCCTGCCAGATGATGGATGGGCAATGCACAGCCTGCGGGGCAGACTGTGGAGCAGCCTGCGGGGCAGCCTGCGGGGCCGGCACTGGGATAGACAGCGGGGCCGGCAGCACTGGCTGGGGCACCTGCGGGCCAGCGGGTGGCGCCGCGGGTACCTGCGTAGCTCGTGGTGGCGTAGGCACCTGCGGCGCCCCCTGCACCTGCGGGGCCAGCAGCCGAGCCTGCGGGGCCTGCCGCAGTGGAGGTGGGGGTGGCAGGGCATGCCACAGCTGTGGCTGGGTGGGTATGACCTGTGGGGCTGGCCGGATTGGTGGTGGTGCCTGGCGGATCAGTGGTGGTGCCTGGCGGATTACAGGTGGGGCCTGGCGCAGCACTGGAGGTGGGCCAGGGCGGATGGGTGGTGGGCCAGGGCGGATGGGTGGGGGCCCCTGGCGTACAGGTGGTGGTGCCTGCCAGGCTATCGCAGGTGCCTGCCAGGTGACTTGTGTGGTCTGCCAGGTCAAAGGTGTGGCTTGCCAGCCTTGTGGTGGGGCCTGCCAGCCAGGTGAGGTGGCCTGCCAGCCTGGGGGTGTGGCCAGCTGCACCTGGGGGGCTTGTGGGCCCTGGGGAACCTGTGGAGGAGCCCTTATGACCTGAGACTGGATTTGCAGGATCAAAGGTTGACCCTGTGGGGCCCAGGAAGCCAGAGGCTGGGAAGGGGGGGCCACTGGCTGCGCCATCGGTGCTCCTGATACTGGAGGCTGGATAATCGGAGCTCTCGCACCTGAAGGATGGATCATCAGGACACTCGGACCTGGAGGCTTGGCCATCGGGGTTCCTGAAGGTGGAGGCTGGGTCATCAAGCCTGCTGGGGGTGGAGGCTGGGCTATCGGGGCTCCTGGAGCTGGAGGCTGGACCATCAGGACTCCTGGTGTCATCGGCTGGGCCATCAGGACTCCTGGAGCTGGAGGCTGGGCCATTGGGGTCCCCGGAGGTGGAGGATGTGCCATTGGTGTCCCAGGAGGTGGAGGATGTGCCATCGGGGTCCCCGGAGGCGGAGGATGCGCCATCGGGGTCCCCAGAGGCGGAGGATGCGCCATCGGGGTCCCAGGAGGGGGAGGATGTACCATTGGGGTCCCCGGAGGTGGAGGATGTGCCATCGGGGTCCCAGGAGGTGGAGGGTGGGTCATTGGGGTCCCAGGAGGAGGAGGGTGGGTCATTGGGGTCCCCGGAGGAGGAGGATGGGGTATAGGGGCTCCAGGAGCAGAAGGATGCACCATCAGGACTCCAGGAGTTGGAGGCTGGGCCATCGGGGCTCCCGGAGGGGGAGGATGGACCATCAGGACTCCGGGAGTTGGAGGCTTGCCCAGTGGACACCCCAGCGGGGGACCCTGGACCATTGGGGCCCCTAGGGCAGGAGGTTGGGCCATCGGAGCCACCGGGGCAGACAGCTGGCCCTGCGGAGCCTCCCAGGCAGGTTGAGGTGCCTCCCAAGCAGCCAGGGGAGCCTGCAAGTCCATTGGAGGTGGATCCCAAGGGACTGGAGGAGCCCGGGAGGAAGCGGGCGGGGCCCGCATTAGAACCGTAGGGCGGCTATAGACAGGCGGCTTAGGGGCCTCCGCAGGAGGGCTGGAATCACCCAGATTCTTACTTAGCTGCGACATGTCCCTTGGCTGACAGCTGGTGCGTCTTCTCCTCCGACAGCTGCTGGGCCTTTTCCTCCAGAGAGAAGAGAATGCCTACGTGGCTGTTCAGAAGCTCCCTCCCTGCTGAATGCTGAATAGGAAGTGAGTGCTGCTCGCTCTGCAGCTTTCCGCAGTAAGAAGGAGGGGGGAAGGGGGTTCAATCCCGCCCCTTCTCCGCCCCCGACCACCACAAGTGGATAGTGCAGAGGGGCGTCTACCAAAGTCCTGGCTGACACAAGATCCCTTCTCACTCTGTCCAGTCCCCACATGCAGCCTGGTCAGCTTCTTCATGCATGAGTTTTCACAGGGGAGTGACAGGGACAGATTTATGCCTTAGAAAAATCCCTGCGATGCAGTATGAAGTGGGCACAGACCACTAGCAACATGGAACGTGTCCAAACGAGGGGGGGGAGATGGTGTGGTCTGAGCTCAGATATGAAGCAGCATTGACGTAAAAGAGACTGGAGAGCTACACTAGACAGCTATTATAATTTAATATAGGAATAAAAGAAGTGCGGGGAAGCATTCCGGTCTCTGTCTTGCAGAAGTGGGAAGTTTCAGAGATAGTTTATTCTCTCAGGGACACAGTGGGAGGCACAGGGGAAGAGAGATGAATGGACATTGGCTGGGACACGGGGCTGGCAAGCAGAGATGTCCTGTGAGCACTCTCATATAACGGTTTCAGCAGACATCTGAGCTGGGAGCCCAGTTTGGGTATTCTTTATGAAAACAGATCTGGTAGTGTAAATGAGAGTGAAGGAGTGTGCTCAGAGTGAAAAATCCTGACACATGTCTGGAAGAATCCTCGCGTTTCAGAGACAGGAAGAGAGAGACGAATGGAAAGAAATCTTGGACATTAATGTGTGTCAGAAATCAGTAAAAGACAGCATTTTTAATATGGGAAAATCTCCCTATGGAATGGGTGAGATGAAGTGAATGTTTGAGAAAGACATTTAAAAAAAATGAAAACCAAAGAAATGCACAGGAAAAGAAAGAAATAGATACAAATAGATGTATAGGAAAAGTAGAGGAAGGGTAAAATGCAAAAGTTTAGAGAAATACACTGATGGGAAAAGAATCAGCTCATAAATGAGACAGTTATTAACAGATAAAGCAGAACACCTCAAAATCACTGGATAATACTACACTTCTTTCTGCCAAAATTGAAGTGACAATCTAAGTTTAGTAGGGTAGTTCTCTTGAAATATACAAAGTAATAAATATTGAAGATGTTTCCTTTAGAATAAACTATTGGCAGCCTGGGGCAAGAGTCCAGAATGACAAAATAGATGCCACAAGAGGGCAGAAGAGGATGATGAAGGCTGTACCCCCACTCCTCCTAAGTTACCCTTAGCCAATGTTCCTCAAATTTGGCAATTTATGATCAAAAGTGAGACAAGTATACACTCTCAATTTTACTATGCTGTGAACAATGAAAGGGGAGTTTGGGAGTGATTTTTCTGGCCATTGAAGAGATATTTTTATTCTAGCAACTTCTTTTCAAAGCCAAGTGGCTGATGATATGTCACTCCTGTGTATACTCAGAAATGGCTACCAAGAACACAAAACTGCTTCTACAGAATTTTCCTAACATGCTTCATGGTCTTCATTTCCTTCCTTGGATTTGTTGCCCAAATCCGTTCAGGACTTGACTGTGGCATAGGAGTTCAGAAACACGTGGGAAGCACCAATTCTAAACACATAACCCTTATGTTCCCATATTGTCAACTCTGCCACGCAGTTGTTGAGGATGGTTTGAGGAGAGTTAGCTCATTTTTCAACCTATGACATTTTTACCCTCACTTAAAGCATAGTTTTTCCTACACTGATACAAATGTATAAACTCATCAGCAATTAAGTTGTTCCACTATTTGTTTTCCAGAAATCTGACAGGTATGAACACTAGTCCACCATGCTGTGGGTCGTCCCACATAACAAATGGCTGCCAGTAGGACTTGGGTATCTCCACTGATGGAACTTAATTGAATAGTACTCCCACAATTTAATTCTGTGAAAAGAACCCCCAGCTTATGCCAACAAGCCATAAAGGAAGGATTAGGAACAATTCAGGGAAACAAAGAGAACCATGTACATGTAATTAGAAATGAAAGAAAAATGACTCATAATTAGCACCCTGGTCACTCCTGAATCACAGTCTTGAATTAGCAGAGAAAATTGGGGATTAAGTATTTGGGGGTGACGGGGCTGGTGAAGGTGGATATATGGAGTTTATCCTCCTTTGTCCATTTTAATTAATCAATGCTTTCAGACCTACATCACTTAAGCTCAATTTAGCTATTTATAAGTTACCTTACACATCAAATACACCCCAGGAGCCAAGAGACATATAGCTAGCTACTTTGTGAAAACTGGTTACTTTAGAAACAGTGAAGTCCGGCATGCTCCTGAGATTGGAGGAACATTTAGACCACGAGTCCTAAAATGTCTTCCCACTTGCTCTTCTTGTGAAATCTTCGAGCTTGCTGAATCCCATATCACTCTCCTATGTGTATAGTGTTCCTCCTCAACACCTTTCAGCATGTATTGTCGAGATTTCTTTTCCTTGCTTTTTTATGAAGCAGCTCGAAAATTCAAGGTTGGTAGAAAACAAAAGGGGAATAAGTACAAAACAAAAGGGAATCTTGGCATCTGTCTGTTCTCAAAGGACTTTCAGTCACTTACTTCAGTATGTGATAGAAGTGTGAAAAATAATCAAACAGAATCAGGGGAAGGAAAGAGTCATGGATGTAGGAAAATGGCTGACCTGAGATTAGTCAGGGTGTTGCTTTGTTCACTTTTGCATCCTAGTTCATATGAAGTGGTCAGTAAAGGACTGTTGAGTGAAACAGTAAGATCAGCACCAGAACCACCTCTCTTTCGTGTCTACACAGGTGTTGGACTTGCCGTCAATACTTATAAGTGAGTAAAAAAAGTTGTTTTCACAAACTCTAAAATTCACGTATTTATGAAATGCCTTGTTAAGTATTCACTTAATGCCTAGTCATATGCTCTATAGAAAACCACGGAGAAAAATCTGATGCAAGACTTTATTGTTCATCACATAGGGATATTAACATGGCATTTTTAGTGCAATAGGTGTTATTGTTGCATTGTTTAAAATCCATATTGGTCATAGTTGACGCAAATAACTGAGAGCTTGCTTCTGCTTAGAACATGAGTGGTGCGGGGCTGTCGTGCTGATTGTAGCAATGAAAAGAAAAAGAAAATCCAAAGCTGTGAAAGACTCTTGAGTGTTCTCCAAATAGGCAGACTGAACAGGAAAATACACCAAGCACAAGAGATAATAGACATAAAAGGAATCTGAAAGAAGAATTACAGGGACTTCATTAAAATTGTAAAAGTACTATTTATTGAATATTTATTATTTGATAGAGCTTCGCATGCACTATTTTTTTGATTCTTCACAAAATCCATAGGTGTTTGGCCTCATTTTGCGTGTCAAGAATTTAGACTCAGATGGTGAATTAGCTTGTTTAAGATTTGGCAATAGATAGCAGAATCCAGATTTATAAGCCAGTCTGTTTGTTGCCAAAGCCATCATTCTTAAACATTAAACCCAGGCTGCTAAAGCCTTCTTTTAAAAAATTAGGTAGATTAACATACAATGAAATGACCTGATTTAAAGTGTTCTGTTTAATGAGCTTTACCACTGAGCAACCAACCCTCCCAACAAGATAAACGGTATTTTTATTATCAAAGAGAGTCCTCATTTTCCTTTCCCAGACAGTTTTTTATGTTAAAAAGCAAATGCTTTGATTTCTCTCACTATCAACATGGCTTTTTTTTCCCCGTGTTCTCGTTTTTCATAGAACGGAACCAGCACAGTATTTGCTGTTTTTGTGTCTGGATTCTTTTGTTCAGCATAATTTGTTGAGATGTAAACATGTCACATGTATTGGAAGTTTGCAATTTTTTAAAATTCTGAAAATGATCCAATTTCAATTAAAACTCCACAATTTATTTAGCTATTACCTTTTGACATTTGAGATATTTACAATTTGCTGCTATTATGAGAAACGACTGCTTTGAAAATTCTTTTGCAAGTCTTTGTTAACATATGTTTTCATTTATCTTGGGGAAAAGCCTAGGCTGGGTCATGGGTTGATGATTGTTTATAAAAACCTGCAACAGTCTCCAGAGTTGGGCTGCACGATTTTTATACTCTATCAAAATATAAGAAAATTCCAGATACCTTGAAAAATTTGTAGTGTTAATCCTTATGATTTAGTCATTCTAGTGAGTGTGAAATGGTGATTGTAAATTTTTTACACTACGGTTAGCAGGTAAGAGGATTCCAGTTGCTTCATTTCCTTGTCAAACTGGTATTGTTGGTCATTTTTATTTTAGACACTCCAGTGGCTGAGAAATGGTATGTTATTTGGGGGGTTTGTTTGTGCTTTTTATTTTTAATTAACAGAATATTTTTAGAGCAATAGTAAATTTACAGAAAGATTGAGGTTAAAATCCAGATACTTCTCTCATACATCCCCTACCTGCAGTTTCCCTCATTACAACCTTTCTATTAATATATTTGTTCTATTTGATTAGCCAAAATTGATAAATTATTATTAGCTAAAGTGAGTAACTTACATTGGGGTTCATTATTCACATTATTCATTCTGTTTTTTAAAAATTCACACAATAATTGTACATATTTATATGGCATATGTCCATATATCTATATGGCATTTAGATACACATATACATCATGTAGTTATCAAATCCAGGAGCTTAGCATTTTTATCTCCTTAAATATTTATTATTTCTTCTAGTTTTCTAGAAAAATAGTAAGTTACTGAAAAGTATAATTTACTTTACTGAGACTATAGAGCACTAGAACTTTTTGTTCCTAGCTAATTGTATTCTGGTACCTGTTGTCCCACCTCCCTCTATCCTCCACACCTCTCTCATTCCTATTCTCTATGGACCATTGTCCTCTTCTCCATTTCTATAACCTT